GAATAATTATATATATTTTATGTATATATATCATATATAAAAATTATAAAATTTTAATATTATTTTATTATTTTTTTAAAATATATGTTTTATAAGTATATATAAGTTATATATATATAAGTATATATTTTATATATATATATGTATAAGTTATAATATCAATATATTATAATTATGATTATTAATAATTATTTAATATGAATTACATTATTATAATTTTTAGTTACACACCTTATCACAATGGCACCTTATTCTAACTGTGGTGTAAAAATAATGTCAATCGGTGGTCGTGTAACTAGTGAAAGAGAACGTTTGATTGGGATGTTAGAAGAAGAACGTGAATGGAGAGCACGTTTCCTTAAAAGTCAAAATCTTGCACCAGATGAGCCATTAATGACAAAGGAATATTACAAGGAATTGTATAATCCATTTCGAAGGCTTTATAAATTACCTTTTAACAAATTTGAAGCACTATTAAGTCCTCTTATAGTAAGTAGATAAAATCATTTTCTTATTATATTATGTAATATTAATAAAAAAAAAATATTATTTGATTTTATTTTTATTTAATTATAGGGTAAAACATCTGCAGTTGTTATACGTAACACAACATCCAAACTTATGATGACTATTGTTGGAATTTATTGTGGATGGTATTATTTTAAATATAATACATGTGTATGTCATAAAAATTTTTTAATATATATTTTAATAAGAAATTTATTAATATAGATTTATTAAGATTTTGAACATAATATTAAAATATTTTTTTATAGACTTGGATGAAACAATCTGGTTGGAGAATGATAAAGACACGTGATGCAGCAATTCCAGAAACAAAAAATTATAAAGGTTTAGAAAAACTAAAAGCATTTGCTACAAATGGTTTTGAAAATTCTCCTATATAAAAATTATTGTAATTATTGTCAAGTAGTATTTCAAATATATTATTTACTTTATATTTTAAGTAATATTTAAAATATATTATTTATTTTATATACTTTATTTACAATAAAGTAATAATTCAATAAAA